CACGCGAGGAGATGTAGAAGGTCCTGTAATCAGTACTGTATTTTCTTCTTAGATATGGATTGTTAGCGTATAAAACACCCAAAACAAATACTCTTTGTAATAATTCCAAAATTATAATTCTAGTGATGTCTTTGTGGTAGTGAATGAATTGATCAAATAGTCACTTTAATTAGTAAGCATGCTCAAGTAGTTAAAGATCACCTCAAATCACATTATTTTGCGAGTTATCCCCCTCACCTAATCACCGATCCCACATTACCTTCCCACCACATCAGCTCCCTTATTTCAAGGCCCCCCCCCCCCCCCCTACACCACTGATGCTAGGGCCTGCTAGTAGGAAAAGTTTGTAGGCCTACTACTATACAGGTCAGATTGCGCTATAGCCAAAATACAAATGTATGTTATTTTTTAATACCGGCATGGTTGTAGTATCGTCTTTTCAAAATAATTCCTATTCCTCTATTTTAACATATTTCAATTCGAATAATAATATTTCAAAGTTTCTTCTATACCGGTTATTATGCATGCAAATTTAATCTAAACTTTAATCATTGAGATTAGGTATGTAAATAGAATACCCGATCGGCAGTGAATGTCCTGATTTGCGAGAAGAAGAGCATGCGCACATACTCTTGGAAGCAGTGCTTCCATTCCAGCGTTAAATTGGCTATTCTGACGCCACCACACGGTTGTCACAATAGCAAATTTAAGTGTTGTAGGGTATCAAAGAGTATATCTGAATTCCATTGACTCACTCAATACGTGATTGGTTGATATTGAAAACCAGCCATGCGGAAATTCTAAGCAGCTGATAGGCCTGAATGTGACTTATCCTAGATACCAAGATAGGCCAAACATTGAAAAACTTTGCTTTTCCAATAAACTACAGCAATCCACTCGAAAGAATTAAGGTTTATATAGAAGATTGTGGCTAAGAAATGCTAAATCAAATGCAGAAACTGTACTGCTATATTTTCTTATTTGTTTTAGCCAGGGTATGCACTGCATACCTTGCTTGCCTTGACGGTCCACCACTGCTCCTGGGCATCCTGAGGTGCAAACATAGCTGGCAGATCAGGCTTTAAGCACTGCAGGACCAAGGCTCTGGAATAATTTACTTTGAACATTAAACATCACCTTCACTTGATAATTTTAAGTCACTACTCAGAAAGCATCTTTTGTTTTTTTTTAATAATCTCTTTTTTGGAATTGTACCTTGAGCAATTACTGTTGAAATGGCACCAAACAAATAGATTGATTGATTGATTGATTGATTGATTGATTGATTGATTGAAAACACGGCTCTAGTTTATGTAAACCATCTTATTTATAATTTGTCTTGTGAAAAGGATTGCTATGAAAATATAAAATATCTAAATAATATATACAAAACTGCAAAACAAAAAAATATATATATAAAAAAAGTGTTTCATTACATACTGTACAGGGTAATATAACTGGACTCTCAATTAAGTGCTGCAGTGCTTAGCTGAAAAAAAATCAGGTTTGGTGCAACGCTTATTCAAGCATTTACTGTATTGTTTATTGCACTATTTTTAGGAGCACACACTGCACCTACCATACCAGACACAATTCCTTGGAGAATGCAAGTTAACGAGGCACGAGCAACAGATAATTTTCAATGACAATCAGCACGCCAGCAGTGTCACTTCATCAAGCCACACCTGGCCTCTCAGTTGGAAGCACCCGGTAAAATTTTACTCGTCCGAACGGGCCCAATGTCGGATCAGACTAAGAGTTAATTTGTGTCTGACATTTGATCAAATAAATTGTCTATCTGTCAGAGTAGGCTCAAAAGAGGTTCTGCAGAGTAAAGAAAGATGATGATGGAGCGGATGCCGGCTGTCAAAGAGCTTCTGGCTTTGACACTGCAATTATTTAAATTCATTTCTCATTTGCTGCATTTGTTGAGATTCAGTGTCTTGTTCATTTTGTAGGAAGGGGCTATATAAATCATATCAATTATTAATCTAATTAGCCATCAACAATTAGAACTGAACAACTACTAAAAAGATTTAGTTACACTATACATAGTAATATTCACAAACATACATTTATATAGCAGGGCTTGTTATTAGAAAATGGCAATTAATTGGGGGAGGGAGAAATTTAAGCTAATAGTGTATTTACCGTAGTACCGTACCGTAGAATTCTATGGATATTTTATCCTTGACACTTGTGTTTCCCACATGAACCAGATGTCAATGGCTATGTTCTCACACGGCTGCTAATGGTTAATCCTGCTAACCGTTAGCTGTTGTGCGTCCATACGACAAAATCCCGATCCGGATAACAAAAATATGATGACCGAATCACTGGCCAATAAGAAACTGGAAATTGTAAACGCGTACGATTGGTTGATGATAAAAACGCGCTCAACTTGCTAACTGATAGCGCTTGCTAACCGTTAGCGGTATCCAGATACTGCTAACCGATCGGGCGTTCTCATGCAGGTGCTAAGGGTTAGCGCTAACGGTTAGCTCCCGATCTGGATACTAGGGCTCTCGTGAGAACCAGGCTTAAGTTTATCCGCTGCATGCTGTAAAACACAGATTTTAGTTAGATAATTTTGGTGATAATTACGGTAATTCAATGTGGTTTTTTTTTTTTTCAATTCAAGAAGTGAAGTCCTAAGCCTACAGACAGGCCAGACTGTATAGTAAGGCCTGCGTGGGGAATATATAATCCGCGCAAAATCTAGCCTAGAAATCCGTCTGTGCATTTTGGAAAATAAGGGACAATTTCCGTGCATATTTTGCCAAAAATTAGGCTTTAACCTAATCTTAATATATAAAAAATATATTTACTTTCTGCGTTCCTATTTTCCTAGCAATTTTCTACGTAAATTTGAGCTGGATTATGAGGTATCATCCGCTAAATTAAAAAAACTCACTCTACAGTATGGCAGACAGGTCTCCAGTTCAATAGACTAGAATCTAGATAGATAGGCCTAGACGAAAAGCTTGATTTGATTGAGCACATAAAACTAAAAATTTGCTATCTGTGTGGTTTCTCAGCGTCTGTACAAACCAATCTACGTTTATTTACGTTCATTTTGTTATAACAATAATATGTTAGATTTATATAGCGCTTAATGGCAACAAGGCCTCTAAGCGCTTCACACTACTACCCCACGTCATTGGATTAGACAAGCATGACGTATGTGTAACTGCGCCCTCAATTTTACTTTTCCAGTGAGTGCTTGTTTGAATTTCTATACTCAAAGCAGTCTAACCGTGATAAAGCCGGCTTTATTCGAGGAGTTAAGACTACCAGTTAAGACCGTGTTATAAGCAATCTGCCCAAGGACTAAAAATGACTAAAACAAGAAATTGACATATAACATATTTATATTCTCAGTAACAAAGGTGTGTCACGTGTTGTGATGTCACCAGTGGTGTATCTAGGGGTATAGAAATGGAGTGGGGGCTGATGGAAGGGGGCGGGGGAGAACTTACTCTCTTGCAGCATGCTGTATTCTGTGATTGTGTTATCTTGATCTACAGCCGCTTCTAATCCTTTGAGAGCATCAGTGACATTTTGTACTTTGAACTCCTCCAGGCCTTGCTGGGAATCCCCAACCTCCATGATGTTGACGTCTTCTTCCCCTTCCTCATTCTCTGAGCTACTAACCTCTTCAAAGATCTGTTTCCAGTCGTCGTTATCTAAAAAGGAATTATCTTGTTAAGTCCTGGTCACACTATCAGGTTTTATATGACAATTTTGCCATTAAAAATGCAAGATTATTTTAAAATGCAAGATGATGTTAAAATGCAAGATGATGATAAAATGCAAAATGATGTTAAAATACAAGATGATGTTAAAATGCAAGATGATGGTAAAATGCAAGATGTTATATCATAAGTGGTGGATCCAGGAATTTGAAACAGAGGGGGGCCCAGGGGAGGACTTTAAAAAACAGAGGGTCAATACGATCTCATGTCTACCATGGTTGGGGCTGACAGAACAAATTGTACCATTATGCTACCTCTAGATTGCTGGAAATGACACTCTCTGATTTAATATTTGAATATAATTTTCTATTGTTCTCCACGTTTTTTTTATAACCTTACAAAATTTAGAGTGGGGGGGGGGAACAGGCTGGCTTGACCCTCCTCCCTTGAATTCACCACTGATAACAGACATAAATAGCAATAATATGCAACTCCTTGTTCTCTAAGGTCCCTACTAATATAGAACCAACATACCTATTTGTAATTCATTTTTGTGTCCATCTTTATCAGGCAACACTTCCCATCCTTAAAACAAGATAAGGATTGTAACCATGTATGGGGACCTAGCTAGCTAGCCAAAAAATAATACAAAGAAAAAATCTATATACATAGAACTGAACAAGAGAGAAATTTTTATGATCATAGTATCTGAGAATAGGATTTAAAAAAAAGTATTATTAAGGATTTTTTTTAAATATGACTGACAGTTAATATGACTGTTATGTTATGACATGACAAAACCAGCACCATGACCACAAAAAAAAAAAAAAATATTGACTTGTTAATATATTCTTATTCTCCACATTGTAATCTTTAAAATGGTGGGTCGTTTACTGGAATCGACTCACTATTACTAAAGTTATGAATAAAAGTATTACAGCTTCTCTGTACTAAAGTACACAATACTGACACATTCTTTGCTAATTACTCATTTAGTGACAGTTTGCTGGTTTTAGGATGACAAGCCTCAAATGTTAATTAAATAACTGCTGCTACTCACAATTCAAACAATAGATAAAATTCATAAAAATAGTACTGTATAAAACGGATGAAAGGATACGGACTCTCATAACTGTGCTGTCCATTCTTAGTAGTCTTTTCACTTCTTTCTCAATATCTGGTGATTCTATGTACTGCAAGAAGAAAGTAAAAGAATAAATATTTAAATGTATTTAAAACATCCATCTTTAATGATAATTCATTCTTGTATCCAGCACCATGGCAAAATATTATAGTAGTAATGTTTTGCCCTCAATTTGCTGTATCTGACGTATTATCATACCGAATACTCAGTACATACTAGCGCCACAACCACTAGACTATCGACCTTGCGCTATCGACCTTGGTACTGCAAATGCTATTATAATGTGTGATTTTGAATTAGGAAAATATCAAAGGAGTGATGTCTTGCCCTACCTGATGTATTATTGTACCAAATACTCAGTACGTTCCAAAATACTAGTGAAAAAAATTCTCAAGTGATTCGGGTGGGAATCGAACCCACGACCTCCAGGTAACTAGCCTGGTGCCAATGCCACTAGAATACCGAGTCACTGTTGTATCCGATCCCCAAGTGGCAGCGAGTATGAGAAAATGTTATCAGAGTTAGACATACCTATTTCTTGGCTTCTTTTTCTGAACCTTCATTTTCTCACATTCTTTAGTGGAGGTGTTACTGAAAAAAGGGTACTTTGAAGAAATTAAAGATATTGTTCAAAAGTAAATGTGAAAACAGATGAATTTTTATCAACATATGAATTTATAAAACTAATTAATCTTTCTCCTGAAGATGAATAAAATAATCGACCTCAAACACCAAACAATATATATAATTTACAACGGTATATGTTTATTAATCATTTGTTTCGTTTTCAACTTACATCCATGGTTCCATAGAAACTTCTTGTTGACTTTGTCGGTGTTCTTGTGTGGAGAACGTTTTTCCTCTCGACCACTTCCACTGTCTTCCCCTTCATTTGAACAACCAAACATCTACAATTCAAAGACGTGTGAAGATGTTGTATGCCCATAGCCATGATGTGCCTATATATGGTCGTGATGTAATGTATCATGACCATATTAAGGCATGTCACATTATATCTGCAGTTTTGAAGAATGTTTTCTTATCAACTGTTGTTTTATAGGATTCCAATATTGTTGGTATATCCACCAACTGAAAAACACAAACAAAAACAATCAGTAATTTATTGTTTCAATTGCAATATAATAGTAAATGATATAAATGTGTAAAGAATGAATGATTACAATGATGATGATGATGATTGGTGATTGATGATGTGTTTCAAAGTCTTTGGTCCAATGTATGAAGGGCACAGCAGCAGAGGTCATGAGCAAGCTAAATGGATAGAGGCTTGCAACCACCTATGGCCCTTGGGAGGACACAGAAGGGCCAGAAGGCTAAGCCCCCTGAAGGGTCAGTTGTCATGACATTCACATGCCTTGAGTAATCGATTTCCTATGTCCCATTCTAAATACATCTATAAAATGGAGGCCATTGGTTTGAAGTTTGAAAGAAAGAAAACAGCTTAAAGCTACATCCAGAAAAAAAACATACATGCCTATGGTCATGATGACATCACATCATGACCATATATAGGCACATCATGGCTATATACAGGCACATCATGGCTAGATGACATCACATCATGACCATATATAGGCACATCATGACCATATTTAGGCACATCATGGCTATATAGGCACATCATGGCAAGATGACATCACATCATGACCATATATAGGCACATCATGACCATATTTAGGCACATCATGGCTACTGTCTCTTATACACATCTAGATGTGTATAAGAGACAGATTTTCTAGACCAAGATGCGATCTGACGACCCCAAAAAGTTCACCCACGACCAAAACTTGGGTCGCGACCCATGGGTTGTCGTCCGGAGGAATAAATGACCCATTTTTTTTTAAAGAAAGAGCGCTGTACAGCCAGAGTAAATATTATTTTGTAGCAGCATACCGGTATATCTCTGCCCGCAAACATCTGAATTACCTATAGGCCTACTACAGTACGATTCGAGTGCGATTTCCTTTATTATTATTATTAGAATTATGAGAAAAAGCATGCTAACAATTAAGTATTATTTTCTATAGGCCTACATCAACAGCGATTAATTTGAGCGATGATGATGAATTATTTTACGATGTACTTAGGAAATTTTATATTTACTACGAATATTTGAAAACATAATTACTGAAATGTTTACTAACTTAAGAAGTCTACCTGAAGCAACAATGTGGTTATGTGCACGTCAGCACGGCATTGATTTGATAGAAAAAAAAGACTCAACTTGGATTGAGTTAATGATTTACTTAAATACTTCGTTCCAACATTCGAAACAAAAACGCGAACATTTTTCAGGTATATGAAGGCTCTCTGTTTATTTTTTTAAATATTTTATTAATTTTATTTTCACTGCATAATAAGTAAAATCACAATACACGCCTTAAACTTATTTATTTTTTTAATTATTTATTCTTAGCCAATGAAACAATATGCAAATCAAAATCCAAGATGGCAAGGAATGACCACAGTTATAAAAACAAACTTTGGCTCAGAAATGATTAAAAATAACAATACAAAAATATAACATCATATTAGAAATACAGCAACGACGATCAGCTGTTGATCGGCCATCGTGTACACGAGGTATACCATAACGATCTTAGCGAAAGTGCTGCATATAAACGGCAATATTTTTCATGTAAATAAAATAAATATGAGTTCAAAAAGTTAACTAAATGATACTTAAAGTATTAAAATATACTTTTAGCTAATTATTATCTAAAAAAATAGTTAAATATTTAAGGATTGAAGTGGATATTAAACATAGGATGATTTCGATAGAATTGTGAGACGATGCTAGTTTTTGTTGCATGAGGATGACGTCATGCGTAACAGCCAATGAAATTCGTCATTCGTCACAAGTTGGGGGAGGGGGTGAGGGATAGTTTTAATTCTATTTTCAGAATTGTGGGTCAAAGGTCATCTGAAAAAATTATTTTATAAATTGACCAATGTAATTTGCAGTAAAAATTTACAATCAAAATGTACACTATTTTTTAGCATTTACAAAAATTAACAGAAATATATGGCAAAAAGTGACAGAAATATTGTTTACATGCAACTTGCTATTCACGCGCTCATAAACTTCAAATGTTTATAAAACCGTAACCAGTGGCTCAATTTTCCTCAAATAAAGTTTTTTATGATACTGAGAATAAGTAGTTTTTTGTGCTATTTTTTTTTTTTTTTAATATGCAACTTTGTATTTATCATGTGGTACCTATATTAGAGAAGGGGTAGCCTACTTTAGTAGTAGCCTACTACTCTCTAGTACTTGCCCCAATAATGCCTAGCTTAACCAACCCGTTAACCTACGGCTAAGCGGCCAGAAAGTAGTATGGAGGCTAACTAGGCCTAGTTAGAACCATAGCCTACCTAGGCCTACTGTAGGCCCAAGCCCTAGCACAGAGAGTAGGCTGGGGGCCTAGGCTAGAGCCTACATACCCGCTAGAACTGGGCCTAAGCCTAGCTAGGGAGCTGCGGTACTCATGCATGGTTGGGCTACATTATTACTTACCTTGTAAACGTGACCATAAGCTTTCGCATTAAAAAAAAATATGAACACTTGACTAGTTTCCTCATAAGTACGTACAGAAGGCATTCCAAGAATAAAATGGTTTTCAAGCTGCAGTATAGTAAATTATCATCTTGATATTCAACATGATGTTTGTCTCTCACACGCAGAGCACAGGCAGAGCAGAATGAACAGCGCCCTCTTGACGCACGAGTATATCAAATATCAATCAAAAAAACTTTAATAATTTTTTTTCATATCTATTCTTTTTTAAATATTTCAAAAACAATGTTTTAAATTTGGTTTGGATGCTATATTATTGCTGTATTTCCAATATGATGTTATATTTTTGTATTGTTATTTTTAATCATTTCTGAGCCAAAGTTTGTTTTTATAACTGTGGTCATTCCTTGCCATCTTGGATTTTGATTTGCATATTGTTTCATTGGCTAAGAATAAATAATTAAAAAAATAAATAAGTTTAAGGCGTGTATTGTGATTTTACTTATTATGCAGTGAAAATAAAATTAATAAAATATTTAAAAAAATAAACAGAGAGCCTTCATATACCTGAAAAATGTTCGCGTTTTTGTTTCGAATGTTGGAACGAAGTATTTAAGTAAATCATTAACTCAATCCAAGTTGAGTCTTTTTTTTCTATCAAATCAATGCCGTGCTGACGTGCACATAACCACATTGTTGCTTCAGGTAGACTTCTTAAGTTAGTAAACATTTCAGTAA